TGTGTGTGTGTGTGTGTGTGTGTGTGTTTGTGTGTGTGTGCGTGTGTGTGTGTGTGCACATGCATGTGTTGCTGTGTGTATGTGTGTGTGTGTGTTTGTGTGTGTGTGCGTGTGTGCGTGTGTGCACATGACGTGCTGTGCGTGTATTTGTTTTTGAAAGAGAGAGAAAGATTTTTGGGGGTAGGCAGAAAGACTCAGAGTTCTTGCGTGCGTGTGTGCGTGCGTGCGTGAACGTACAGTATGTGGTCGTGTATATTGTTGAGTGTGTGTACGGTATAAAAAGAAAAAAGAGATAGATAGATACACTTGTTTAGTCTAAAAAAACCGATGAAGGCTCTTTGAATTATTGGCTAAGTTCTTCTTTCCTTCCTTGTTGAATTTATCTGTTTGTCATTTATCTGTTCCGTATAGTGTTGGTTTTGTCGTGAGTGTGTGCGTGTACAGTGTGTGTTGTACACATGCATGTGTTGCTGTGTGTAGTGTATGTGTCTGTTGTGGTGTGTTGTCATGAGTGTGTGCGTGTACAGTGTGTGTTGTACACATGCATGTGTTGCTGTGTGTATGTGTCTGACAAAGTAGATTTAGTACTGGTATTGGTAGTGGTAGTTGGTAGCATTGTCATTAGTAGCCTGGCTGCATTTAGTGAGTCATTACTAACAAAAGACAAAGGCAAAACAGTACAAACTGCGAATACATGTATGTCGTATTTCTAAAACTGATGCGTGTAGTGTACTGTGTTTGGTGATGAATAGATTTAAGTTATTTTAGTTGGGGTTTTGTTTGTTTGTTGGTTTTGGTTAATTTGTTGTTGTTGTGGGTTTTTTTGGTGTGAATGTTATTTATTATTTTTTTTGGGGGGGGGGGGGTTGTTTTAGTTTTGTCCCTTTCCCTAACTTGTTGTAATCTTGGAACTAATTCACTGGTTGTTTATTTTTTTGTTCCATCAGAACACGTTTTGATCTTTGTTATGTCTTTGACTAGCGCGAGTCGTCGTTTGCCTATTAGATGTTCGAAACAATGACAAAGGTAATAATAAAAGCAGCAACAATCATAATGACGGAAAAATAGCGATGATTATAAGTCACTATTTACATTGTAACAAGTAAAGATAATAATGATGATATGATAATAGTAATAGTAGTAATAATAATAATGATTATAATAATTATAATATTATTGATAATAATAATAATGATAATAATAATAGCAATAATATGGTTATGATAGTGATAGTGAGGGTAGTCATACTAATAACAGTAATAACAATAGCAACGACCACTACATTATGATTTTTCTACCATCTTCCTTTGAAACAAAGCGTATAGATGTGTAAGAGCATGATGTAGCCTATGTGCAAAAGGACCTTGGTATTTGTGTAAGAGGACCATGAATTCTGTCTGTTCCAAGCAAACGAAACAAACAAACAAACAAACGAAGTGTATAGATGTGTAAAAGGACCATGAATTCTGTCTGTTCCAGCTCTGAGCAAGCCAGGGGACCGGGCAGGGAGAGTAGCCACCTCAGCCACTTCTCAGGAAGAGGATAATGGATATAGTAAGTTATATATATATTGTTTGTTTATATATATGTGTACACACACACACACACA